AGCGTGGTGCACCAGTTGCGCTACACCACAGGAGCAGGTAAGAGGAGCGTGGTGCACCAGTTGCGCTACACAACAGGAGCAGGTAAGAGGAGCGTGGTGCACCAGTTGTGCTACACCACAGGAGCAGGTAAGAGGAGCGTGGTGCACCAGTTGCGCTACACAACAGGAGCTGGTGAGCTTGTAGGCTGGGGAGTTCTGAGACCACACATAAGGTTTCGGCTGCACTATATAATTATGTACATAAGGAGCAATATGCAACTCAGATGTTGGAAGAGTATTTATTTTCTGAAATAGTATATCGCGCAACGAACCTAGAATTAAAGGAACATTTCCTTACATCGCGGACTGTGTGGGAAATGCTCTATTGAGATGTATTGCTCAGCCGTTCATCCACTGATGCCACTTAAGCCCCAAAATTGGGGAGCGTAGCTTCCAAAACTGATGCCTCCTATACCGTTGCTGGCGGTATTGGAGCTCCCTAGACCGTACAGACCAATGTCGTAGTTTCCAAACCTAAAGCTTCCAAGACTGTAATTGAAAGCGTTTGGAAGCCCATAATTAAGGCCTCCAATACCAAGGTTTAAGCCAATGTTAGCTGTTGGTCCAGACTCTGCTGGCTTCCGAGGCCTCGATGCTGCAAGACCCACCAGCAGGACAATGACCTGAAATAGAGAGAAACACAAGTAATTAGCCGGTGAAAAATCATCCAACTTTCGTCTCTTCCTCAGACCATAACCCACACAGGCAAAGGTCTGACTGAGAGGAAAACTGAATTTTTAGTAAAAGTTTGTAAACAAAACCTAAAAGACGTTTTATCATGTAGTGAAGAAAATAATGTACATGAGTTAGCTTTTCTACATTCTACTTGTTAACTCTTGAGACTCTTCATATTCTTGCTCTCCATGAACCTCTATTACAGAAACGAATCGACACTAGGATTACATATTAATACTAAAGAGACATTTTCGTCACGGTAAAAATAAATTTTATTAAATTACTCAACATTCTATTTAACGATTATCGAGTTTTGAATGTGTTAATGAAAGCTTAAAATTAGAATTAAACATGATTAGATTAATTTTCTTGTTAACTATAATGTACAGCTTTATTAGTTAGGCTTTGGTTTGTTATAACACTGGAGTTAGGCTTGAGTTTTGTGAGCGGACATAAACTGGACATGGTTTTGTGGCGCCACTGTTGTTGGGTGTGGGCTTGTGGCACCACTGTTGTTGGGTGTGGGATTGTGGCACCACTGTTGTTGGGTGTGGGCTTGTGGCGCCACTGTTGTTGGGTGTGGGTTTGTGGCGCCACTGTTGTTGGGTGTGGGTTTGTGGCGCCACTGTTGTTGGGTGTGGGTTTGTGGCGCCACTGTTGTTGGGTGTGGGTTTGTGGCGCCACTGTTGTTGGATGTGGGCTTGTGGCACCACTGTTGTTGGGTGTGGGCTTGTGGCACCACTGTTGTTGGGTGTGGGTTTGTGGCGCCACTGTTGTTGGGTGTGGGTTTGTGGCGCCACTGTTGTTGGGTGTGGGTTTGTGGCGCCACTGTTGTTGGGTGTGGGTTTGTGGCGCCACTGTTGTTGGGTGTGGGCTTGTGGCGCCACTGTTGTTGGGTGTGGGCTTGTGGCGCCACTGTTGTTGGGTGTGGGTTTGTGGCGCCACTGTTGTTGGGTGTGGGTTTGTGGCGCCACTGTTGTTGGGTGTGGGTTTGTGGCGCCACTGTTGTTGGGTGTGGGCTTGAGACAGCACAAACTGAAACTTGGATTTGAGTTTTTTCTAAATATATATTCAGTAAAATACATATGTATGTTATAAGGACTATAACTCACCTATAGAAGGAGGTTTATAGAATACATAACTCTCCTCTCTCCGCTTCAAATATTCCAGGTAAAATGTCTTATAGTATCGCGTTCGTTAACGCCAGATCTGGATCAATCAATTTTAGATATCCGGAAATTCTAATGTGATTTCCATACTCATATTAAATCAGATTCTACCGGTGCTCCGCTTCTCACTTATATGAGACGGGCGACGCACAGATATCAAATTAAATATCAGTCGCAAATAGATTATATAATTCGCAGTACAACATCCCGGCGGAAAAAAACATCCCAGCGGCACATCTCTGCTCTATAAAATCAGTGGTACTTGTGCTCTTTCATGACTGGTCAGTCAGTCACTGAAGTGCATTCCCTGGCTCCAAACACCCCGCTCTCACCCTTACCACTACCACACACCACAAACATCCTCGCACAGGTAGCTTCCCTCACGCTAAACACACCTCAGGCAAGAATTAGTTCCGCTTCGCGAGGGAAGAAACAACCTTATTGTAACAAAAACATAATTCGTTAGCGTTCACATTTCAACGTCTTAAGCATTTTAAAGAGCTGACAAGTAAAGTTACTAAATAAATGGAGTGACCTATATTAGGTTCGATGTATTATGGTCAGTCCAATACCTGCATTATTGTGAAGACGTGAAATCATTAAAATTAAGCGTCACTGAAACACAGACGAAAGACTTATTATAATATAATATTCATAAACATTAAAAGGAATGGCAAGATACAAAGATGCATGGTGTAATGTGCAAAAATAATATGTGAAAAGTCCGTGTGGAAAAAATTCTATATTTATAATCATTACGGGACCAATTTTGTCTAGCTCTTTTAAGTCTAGATTAAGGTCAATTACGAACGGGTATATATTCAACGTGTCCTCCTTACAAGAATGTCGCTTTTCGCTTGTACGCGTTACCCAAGACCAAAAACTGTCGTACTAGAAAACGGCTCGCGAAAGTGACGAACTGTCCCGTTTTCTGTTTTTTGCCTTTTTGAAGGTTAGGAGAGGGTACCTTAAATTTACCGTTTTCTTGACGTTGGGAAACCTTACGAGGACGGGCTGATATTCATTTTGCTTAAGGGGCATATCTGTGAATATTAATAGCTGTTCAATGTCAACCTAACTTTTTTGGTTAGTTGTATATGGAAAGGGCTGCAACTGTTCTAAGTTTCAGTATCACAACCTAAATAGAAAGGGAGTTTTTTTTTCAACAAATTTTTCACATTTTCAACAATTTACTACAACCACAAGTTTCAAATCAAATCATTTATATGACACTCTTCTATTACATTAGCATATAACAAAAGATCTGTATGACTGGATTTTCCAAAATATGTTTAGTTTGACTAATACAAATAGTCAAAGTTCCCCCCCCCCAAAAAAAAAAATTATGCAAATATATCATATTAATTACTATTTATAAAATAAAAAAATGAACTTAGAAAAAACGCTCTTTACAGTTTGTAGAGACATAAACTCTACATATAAGGAATAAGTTTCATGTAAATTGAATACAAAATGAAAGAGGAGTAGTTACGTTTATGTTACTTGAAAGAAAGTAATGAAGAAATGATTTCTAAGGTGCTACAATCTGTCACTGAGGTTGACATCAACCAATTTCCTCCAAAATTGGCATCCTTACAGAAAGGATTACGTGCAGTCAGGTGTATAAGTTTCATGCAAATTGAACGATTAACAAATGAGAAAAAAAAAATAGAAAAAAAATCAAATTTTTTAACTCAATTTTTGTTTATAAAACTAATTTTTACATTTTGTTATTATATACTATTGTGATAACTGAGAGTCATAGACATGATTTCAGTTGACACTTGTGTTTGATGTTAATTTTTTAACATTTTAACATGCTGAGACTCGGACCAGATGAAGCCAATTGCATATACAACTAGTCAAAAAAGTTTGATTGAAATCGAACCAGTTTTCATTTATTGCATATTTTGCTAATTAAGAGAGGACCTGATAAATCTATATAAGGAAAATTTAATCATGCAGGCTCCTGTGCGATGTCAGGCTGCACGCTGCTTGCGCTAACAACCTGACTGATCAGATACTCCACCAGTAAGCTTGGTCAAAGACCTCGCCACAAATAGGCAGCTCGTCCTCCTAAGGTTTCCCAACGTCAAGAAACTGTCGTACAACTGTGCTCTTATCCTAACAGAACAGAAGACCCAAAATAGAAAACAGAACAGTATGTCAATTTCGCGAGCCGCTTCTATTTTTCATTACGACGAATTTTGACCTTAGGGAAAGTATATATACGTCAAAATGCAACGCTGTATTAGGAGGATGGGTTGAGGTGGAGGACGAGTTGAGGTTCAGGACGGGTTGAGGTTCAGGACGGGTTGAGGTGGAGGACGGGTTGAGGTGGAGGACGGGTTGAGGTGGAGGACGGGTTGAGGTGGAGGACGGGTTGAGGTGGAGGACGGGTTCAGGTGGAGGACGGGTTCAGGTGGAGGACGGGTTCAGGTGGAGGACGGGTTGAGGTGGAGGACGGGTTGAGGTGGAGGACGGGTTCAGGTGGAGGACGGGTTGATGTATCTCCTCTCACGCCTGCTTGCCTTGCTTCACTCTGGCCACCATTAGTACACAACAATTTGGCTAGTGTAAATATGTGAACAAAGTAATACGCTGAAACAAATACGACAAAAATAATCATAAAATTGTTTAATCACGATTTTTCATATAGAACGTACTTTAATTTTTGTTACTTAACATTTTCTAATACACCACTTAAGTACAAATACTAGCCACACATTTACTATCTAAATATAGCAATACAATGCTTCAAGTTCCTTTACATATTGGTGTTTGACTTGGAGGGTCAATAACAGCAAGAGGGTTATTAATGCCACCACAATAACTCAAAAGCCAGCATGTGAGTGTTCATACACCTGATCATACTTCAGGGCTAAGGTTTCACTTATTCAATATATTCACCGCACTGAGTTTGGATTATACTCACCAGAACCTTCATCGTTGATGTGTGTTGGTGATTCAGTGAGTAAGCACAGTGTGTGGGGGCGGGTGGTGTCTGTGTTTATATACAGAGTCACCCAGGACCCCGGCCGCTGGTACCCCCCAGCGTCTGGTCAGCCGCAGCCGCAGCAGCCAGACGGTCAGGCTTCAGGCCGTTAACTGAGGTGAATGACTCTGGGCGCGGCCGGTGCTCCACCCCCATGCTGCTACCTCCAACCCCCAACCTCCACCTCCACCCCCTTGCTATTACCTCCACCCCCATGCTGCTACCTCCAACCCCCAACCTCCACCTCCACCCCCTTGCTACTACCTCCACCCCCATGCTGCTACCTCCAACCCCCAACCTCCACCTCCACCCCCTTGCTACTACCTCCACCCACATGCTGCTACCTCCAACCCCCAACCTCCACGTCCACCCCCTTGCTACTACCTCCACCCCCATGCTGCTACCTCCACCCCCCAACCTCCACCTCCACCCCCTTGCTACTACCTCCACCCATATGCTGCTACCTCCAACCCCCCAACCTCCACCCCCTTGCTACTACCTCCACCCACATGCTGCTACCTCCAACCCCCAACCTCCACCTCCACCCCTTTGCTACTACCTCCACCCCCATGCTGCTACCTCCAACCCCCCAACCTCCACCTCCGCCCCCTTGCTACTACCTCCACCCATATGCTGCTACCTCCAACCCCCAACCTCCACCTCCACCCCCTTGCTACTACCTCCACCCATATGCTGCTACCTTCAACCCCCAACCTCCACCTCCACCCCCTTGCTACTACCTCCACCCCCATGCTGCTACCTCCAACCCCCAACCTCCACCTCCACCCCCTTGCTACTACCTCCACCCCCATGCTGCTACCTCCAACCCCCCAACCTCCACCTCCACCCCCTTGCTACTACCTCCACCCATATCTGCTACCTCCAACCCCCAACCTCCACCTCCACCCCCTTGCTACTACCTCCACCCATATGCTGCTACCTCCAACCCCCCAACCTCCACCTCCACCCCCTTGCTACTACCTCCACCCCCATGCTGCTACCTCCAACCCCCCAACCTCCACCTCCACCCCCTTGCTACTACCTCCACCCCCATGCTGCTACCTCCAACCCCCAACCTCCACCTCCACCCCCTTGCTACTACCTCCACCCCCATGCTGCTACCTCCAACCCCCCAACCTCCACCTCCACCCCCTTGCTACTACCTCCACCCATATGCTGCTACCTCCAACCCCCCAACCTCCACCTCCACTCCCCTGCTACTACCTCCACCCCCTGTTGCTTTCCTCCGACAACCTGCTACTAACAGCACGCCCCCTGCTGCTACCTCCACCCCCTAGTGCAAACTCCTCCCCCTCTGCTGCAACCTCTACCCCCCCCTGCTGCTAATCTACCCCTCCTTTGTTGCTACCTCCACCCCCTGTTGCTACCTCCAGCCCCTTGCTGCTATCTCCAACCACTCTACAGATACCTCCACCCCCCTGTTTCTACCTACATCCCTCCTACTTCAACCTCGACCTCCCTGCTGCTACCTCCACCCCCCTGATGTTACCTCCACCCCCCTGCTGCTACTACTCCCCCCCCTGCTGTTACCTCCACCCCCTGCTGTTACCTCCACCCCCCTGCTGTTACCTCCACCCCCCTGCTGCTACTTCCCCCCCCTGCTGTTACCTCCACCCCCTGCTGTTACCTCCACCCCCCCCTGCTGCTACTCCCCCGCCCCTGCTGCTACTCCCCCTCCCTGCTGTTACCTCCACCCCCCTGCTGCTACTCCCCCGCCCTGCTGCTACTACTCCCCCTCCCTGCTGTTACCTCCACCCCCCAGCTGCTACTACTCCCCCCCCCTGCTGTTACCTCCACCCCCCTGCTGCTACTCCCCCCCCCCTGCTGTTACCTCCACCCCCCTGCTGCTACTCCCCCGCCCTGCTGCTACTCCCCCTCCCTGCTGTTACCTCCACCTCCCTGCTGTTACCTCCACCCCCCTGCTGCTACTCCCCCCCCTGCTGTTACCTCCACCCCCTGCTGCTACCTCCCCCCCCTGCTGCTACCTCCACCCCCCTGCTGCTACCTCCCCCCCCTGCTGGTACCTCCCCCCCCTGCTGCTACTCCCCCCCCTGCTGTTACCTCCCCCCCTGCTGTTACCTCCACCCCCCTGCTGCTACTGCTACTACCCCCCCCCTGCTGTTACCTCCACCCCCCTGCTGCTACTTCCCCCCCCCTGCTGTTACCTCCACCCCCCTGCTGCTACTTCCCCCCCCCTGCTGTTGCCTCCACCCCCTGCTGCAACCTCCACCCCCTTTGCTGCTACCTCCACCCTCCTGCTGCTACCTCCCCCACCATCTTCTACCTCCACCCCAACTGCTACCTCCACCCCGAACTGCTACCTCCACCCCCAACTGCTTCCTCCACCACCTGCTGCTTCCTGCACCCCTGCTGCTACCTCCTCCACCTGCTGCTACCTCCTCCACCTGCTGCTACCTCCTCCACCTG